TGCTTTACAATACCTCTCTCAACTCGAAGTTACAATATCTTAAAGTACCTCTCTCAATTCAAAGTTACTATGCCTTACAATGTCTCTTTCAACTCGAAGTGACAATACCTTACAATACCGGAGCTTGTTTAACCTGTAGTTCTCTTTTATTGTCTCTGTGTTTTCTAGTTGTCTTTCCGGATAAGAAGGAAAATGTTTTTCATTCGGACGAATGTGGCGAGGGAGAATGAAAGTTTTACAATACCTTACAATACCTCTCTCAACTCAGTAGTATCGAGCCTAATTATTCTTTTGTGTTATCGGCTCAAGACGTATTGCACAGTTGATCTTCATATTTGCACGCCAATTATCGTATTAAATGGTTATTGACTAATTTAAAGGAAGCTTTTTCTCCTGTGAAAATTGCTGGACGGGGGGCATTAAAATCACTTTCGTCACTGGTTTTTTTTCCGCTCAGCGGTGTAGATAGATCGTGCTATGCTCTTTTAATCTCATTAATTTCTCTGGTTTTTTTTTTTCAGATGTTGTTTGAACTCGAAGGGTACGAAGACGATTTAGACTACCGATCCATTCCCTTATCAGCCAAGACTCCATGTACAGAAGCGGTGGAACTGATTGTCAAGAAGTTTCAGTTGCCTGGGAAGGCTAACGAGTACTATTTGGTGGAAGTGTCTGAGGAATGTGAAGGTAAAACTTTCTGTTTATCCATTTAGATGAAAAAATTTATACCCAGAGGAACTAGCTTTGTGTTTGAAAGGCATAACCAAACTCCTTACTACCAAATTCAGTAGAAATATTTCGGAACATTTGGCAATAGCTTAATATATTGATGTCATTTTGTGCAGATGATAGAGAGGAGGTAGCTGATCACGTATGCCCTCTGAGACTGCAAATGGCGTGGAGTGCACCCGATCACGTGTTCAGGCTTTGTAGACGACCAACAGATAGTTCAACTGATGTTAATGACGTTAATAAAGATACAATTGATGGATGGTAGGTGTAAAAAAAATCCTTTTACGAAAAAAGAGGCTAGAGTCCAAACGGCGTAGAAAATATATATTAAATTTGTTGAGTGAACCTCGACATTCGGCTAAAATAAAAATGTCCACGTCAGTTTTCCAATGTCAAGGTTATTTGAAAGTTAAAAACGAAAAATATTTTGTACAGTAGGTACACCCTTTCATTTCGAAGTTCTAAATATAAATTCTGTGCATTATCTGCTTCATTTTTCAAACAATATTAGCCAGAGAATTTGGTATTGAATCGAACAAATACGTTCGTGCTGATTTGTCCTTTTTTTTCTCATCACCGTTCTGCTAAGAATGTATTGCTGTTGTAGGAACAAACATCTTTCTCTGTTTCTTTACCGAGCTCAAAACTTATCATCTCTTTCATTTCTATCTAAAATCCTCTTGGTCACTCTTAAGAGCGAAAGGGTCAAAACGCCTGTTTTCTACTTGATAAGGTTTACCAACTTTTGATAAGCAGACATTTTATTGACCCCGTACACCTTTACATTAGTCTTCGTAATCTTCACACTGTTCTTGTTACATTTCCTATGGCACTGACAAGGAGAATTTGTTTAAAAATCAGGAGCCTTTTAGGTTGGTGATCATTTTCTTTGTTCTCATGACCTTTAAATTTGATTTAAGGGTAATATTGAAAGGAGAGATAAGAACCAGTCACTCATAAGAGTAAAAGAGTTGACGTGTTTTATGTATTCCTGTTGTATGTAGGATGACAGATGCTACTGAAGATGCCTCTCATGAACCAGGCATTACCTCAGAAGTATCTTCGGTGCGTGATAAAGACGAGCTGGAGTTTGCACCTGTCCCAGGAAGAGTAGAAGGGAACGAAATCAAGGAGGAAATCAGTGAGGATTTGATGGAGGGTTTGAACGAGCTGGATCAAGTCATCGACGAGGAATCCGAGGTGATCGCTTCTCAGGAGTTAGAGGCTGTCCGTCATGAGCTTGCCGCCAAAGAAGAGGAGTTGAAAGAGCTGCGTTTACGAAGTGACACGCTTAATGAGAGAGAGGACGAACTGATAAGCTTGCGGCGAGAGAATGAGGAACTCAAAATGCGAAGCGTAGCGCGCGGCAGGCTGTCAGAGAAGGACGAGTCTTTGGTGGAGAAAGACCGTGCGTTGGAGGAGCTTCGACAAGAGAATGAAGAATTGCGGAGAAGAATTGATGACCTCGAGGAAAAGCTTAAGAATGAAACGGCTATGCGAGATCGCGAAATCGAAAGGCTTTACGCTCGAAACAACGAACTTTCGTCCAACGAAAAGGAGCTGGAGAATTTGAGACAGTTACGCGATACGTGTGACTCTCAAGAAAAGGAACTGGAGAAGCTAAGACTTATGAATCAAGAGTCCAGCTCTGGTCAAAATGAGCTTGCTTCGAGACTTGCAGAACTGAAGCAAAAGCACAATGAATTGTTAATGGAGGTAAATGAAATGGAGAAATTGAAGCAAGTTAACCGAGAACTCACTCGCAAAGTTGACGAGGGCGATATGTTTCGACAGGAGTTGGAGAAAAGCCAAGCACAGAAGAAAGAGTTGGTTGAGAAGTTGAAGGAGTTGGAGCGCGAGAGAAGAGAATCCAAAAAAGGTGAAAACGACAGAGTGGAAAACTTGAGACAGAAAAACCTAGAGGTAGCAGCTAAGAGCAAGGACGCAGAGGAGATGCGAACAAATATTATCAAGTTGACCGCCCAGATGCGTGAAATGGAAAAACAGAGCCAAGAGAGGGCGAACAAGCTGCAGAAAGAGCTGGAGGATGCCGCTTCCGAGAAACAACAGCTGTTGGACAGGATAGCCGAGTTGGAAGAAAGCGAAAGGAGTCAGGCTCAAAAGAAAGATGCGGAGAACAACGCAAAGGAGGTTGAGGATTTAAAACTCGAGAACATATTCTTGGTTGAAAGGACGAAAGAAGTCGATGAACTGAAGTCAGCTGTGGCCAAACTAGCGGCAGAGGCCAAGGAAAACGAGTCCTTTAAACAGAAGTACAAAGAGCTTCGTGATGTGGAGACTGTAAGTATTGTTAAGATATCTAAGATAGTACGCGCGCTCTCGTTGGTCGAAAGGTGTGTGTAGATGAGAGTATGTGAGCACGCTTGTCACTTGTCGAATTATTTTCAAGAGAGTATTCTCGAAGGGTATGCCGACCCGAAACTCAGTCGAGGATTTGTTGAACTTTCGAGAATTCAACCCCTGTCGTGTTTAGATGGGGCTGTGTAAACACGGAAAAAGTCTTCTATTACCTAAATAGTGCTTATTTCGTTTGGGCGTTGTTAAACAAAAGTCAAAGTAATCATAACAGTCAATTAGAGCGGAGGTAAATATCTAAAGTAATCAATGTAACATCAGTATCCATTTGGTACTGACAAGGAGAATTCGTTGAACAATCAAAGCTTCTCGGGTTGGCGATCATTTCCTTTATTCTCGTGACCTTAATGTTTGATTCAGTGGTGATATTGTAAGGAGAAATTAGATGCTGGTCACTCCTAGGGGTCAAGGGGTTAAGCAAATTATCGGACTCGTTGTAAACTCTTAAGGAGAAAAATTCCTGTTACACAATGACTAATCTCGCGCTTTTTACTGATCTTTTGTTGGTTACTATCGTAGTTGACTTGCGCAGAGCTCTGTTGTCTGTTCCTTGAGTTGTCAGGCCTTATGAGAAAGGATACGTGATTTTGCGAGCTTTCCACCTTACATCAATGTCCATAAATTTGTTTTAGCTTTAACAAACTAATGTCTCCTCTGTTCTTTTCTTTCTTACCCAGTATTTAACCAAACAGGTAAGCACGGCAGAAACAATTGCTCGACAAAAAGACAAAAAGCTGAAGGAATCAGAAAACAAGATAAATACTTTGGTAAGTTAATGCAAGATTGGTTGTTATTGCAAGCGACGTTCTCAAGTTTATCCAGCGTATTGTGAGTGAAATTTCATGTGTGTTCTTCCCAATCAATGAATAGTTTGCGTTAAAATAGTAGCACAGGTTTAAGATCCCTTCTAAACCGGCGTAGTCCGGCGAACCTTCAAGACAAAGCCTTCTGCTAGAAATCTACTGGAGCTTTGTTGATGTGACTTTGTTTAATGGTATTTGTGTTTGTGCAGACTGAAGCTGTAAAAGACATGGAAGCCAAGCTGGAGGAACATGAACAAAATAAGTTATACCTGGACCAGCTATTGGCCATGCTGAAGGACAGGGACCCCACCCTCTTGCACGTCATCAACACTTCGCTTGCGTCAAGGTATAGCCAATCAAAGCGAAGGAAAACATTGCAAGAAACCAATGAGAATTTAGTGTGAATATGAGCAAAGTGCTCGAAGCGCGGGAAAACGCGAGTGACTAGGTCGCGTTTGGTTTTAGTCTCGTATCTTACTGGCTTAGGATGTGGCGCGATATTTTCTGATTGGTTCAGAAAGCTCGCGCCATCTCACGATCAGATGCAAACTGAAACAAATAGCGACTTGGTACTCGCGTTTTCCCGCGCTTCGAGGAGTTCTTGTTTTAATTTTGAGTTCCTGTTGGCTTCTTTTGATATATTTGCTTTGCTCTGATTTTCCATTGTGATGTACTGTGATTTTGAATTTTACGACACTCAATCAAATTACGCTTCAGTATTGTTCCACTAAATTAATTAATGTGAATTGTTCTTCTATCTTCGATATCGCTCCGTCGACCTTTACCGTATTTTGTGACATTTAGAAATTCAGTGAACCCTTAAACCCCTGTGAGTGACTAAAATCTAATTTCTCCCAACGATATCACCCCTGAATCAAACGTGAAGGTCGTGAGAATTAAGGAGATGATCATCAATTGAGGAAACTCTTGATTGTTAAACAAATTCTCCTTGATAGCACCTTAAGAAATGTATGAAAAACAGTATGGAGAGAATGCGTTCAGATGTTATGGTCTAAAGGGTGGAAGTGTATTTGAAACGTTTGTGTTGTTGATTTTTTTTGTAGTGAACAAGAGGAATGGTGCTGAATGATGGAGTTGTTTCTGCAGTTCTTTAGATTGCCTCTTATGGCACGGACCGGAGTAGTGTTTTTGAAGTTTACCGCCGAGATGCCATACACAGATCTGTTGCTGTTAGATAGTTTGAAAACATCAGGTTAGATCAGATAGTTATTTAGGTTACTTACATTTTGAGGAGCTTATGTAATGTTGATTCAGATTGGTTTAAAGGATGATCAGTACTAAACACATCCGTTTTTAAACGTTTTTTGATATCGGTAGGATGTCGAGACATTTGTGGAGGAAACATATTGTCTCAAAAAGCCTCCGTGGCAGTGAATTTTTTCAACGAAAATGCCATTTGATTCTTAGATCTAGATTCGTCTTCTATTTGATTTCCATCCTAAAATTTTACACGACATCGTTTTTAACAAAACGCAACTGGTGAACTATTAAGTAAATATATTACAAAGAGAAAACATATTTTTAAAAATATATATTTAAGGAAAACATCAGTGCCTTTCACAATAAAAGGTTATCCTCGTTCTTCTCGGATTTCTCGAGGGAGGGGAGGGTATCCAAAAAAAACATTTATAGACAACAAATACTCTGAATAGAGAAAGCAATAGCCAGAAAAATACTTCAAAGTCAATACTCTTATCAGTTAGAGGTACGGCCGACCGAAAAGCTCAGCTGTGAAATTTTCAGTGCTGCTCACCACAGCTCTATAACAAGGAAACATATCGGCTGATTATCGAAATGCAAACCAACGCGAAAACAGTTGCAGTGGTGTTATTACATCCCATTGGTTACACAGTTTGTTCAGAATCTGTGAGAAGGCAGCCCATGAGAAAATCGAGAAAATAAAGGAAGAAAAATCACTGAATTCTCTGTCAGAGCCGATGCTTATTTGTCGTTTTCAAACACTGGTATAAAGGTGTTTTGAAAAGTTTAGTTAATACGGATTGAAATTAAGACTAATTTTTTTAGTTAATTATACAACAAATTTTAGTCATTCTTTTTTAAAGATTTTTTAGAGTGTTATATGAAGATAGCGATACGCCTATATTATGGGTCACATTAGAAGGTTTTTAAAGAAGTCATATCTTAATGTAATATAGGTCTCGCGCCGAGATCATATCAAGTAATCGTACGCCAATTAAACAAAGAGAATATTTTGTATTTAATTCTTGCAAAATGTGTGATTTTGAATGATTTTGTGTCTTATTTTCATCGTTTATCAGTGCCATACGAGCAGAGAAAATTTCATCGACCTTCTAGGTTCGCAGAACGTGACATGGTTGAGCCTTGTCCAGGGTCATTGTGCCCTGCCCCCCTCCTCCCCCACTACCAGTCTTTTATGCGGCTCGGTTCCTGCAGCTTCACACACGAAAAATGGGCTGACGATAGAAAGCTGGTTGACTCAATCGGAAAAAAAAATATCATCTTAACAGACGTCAACAACCATCAGCATCATACAATCGACTCATTCACGAACCTAACCGAACGACCAAACTTTACCGACAGATCGAAACCGGCTGACCAATCATATATAGCGTGTATAAGCCGAGTCCAAGCTTTTAGCATCTCGGCAAAAGTAACCTAATCGTTTTCACGAACCAGACGCGAAAAATTCTACTGATGTACTTTGCTCTGAAAACAGCTCAAAGTCTGTGTAGATTGTCGAAATTCTAGTCTCTGTCACCAACAACAACCTTGGGATGCTGTGCGGCATTACTCTAGCTAACCTTTGGAAAACTAGAAGAGAAACAAATTATCGGAAGCGCAGTTGTGTTTAAAAGAGGGTGTTGATTAGTGTCTTTGTTTCTGTGTGTAAACTAATTCCCAGTTAACTCTCGGCGGAACGGAATGTTTTGACAGTTGATTTGAGCACATAATTTACCCTCTGTTCTAATTTTGAGATACCAAGAAATCAATAGAGGAGGAAAAAATGATTGCATTGTAAACTCTGTTTATTGAAGAGTGTGGCTGTTTTGAAAAACTCCATTATCAAGCTGTTGTCATCTAGTTAGTCAAATAGTTGAACTTATTTTTTTAATTAAGCTGACAGAAAAAAAATGTCATGCTGAAAGCTGTTGATCTGCTTTATCGATTGAGACGATATCGATCAAGATTTCCTTAGACCGTCATGTTCTCTTACAGATAATAGATATTAAGAAATCTTTTCCATTAAGACTTAAGAGGTTTCTAAACTCAAAAGCCAAACTCAAGTTAATAAACACCGAATCAGGTCTCCCAAAAGTGTAAACAAATGATGCTATAAATGACATCGAAGAGATGAGTTTTTAAACAACGTGTTGATGTTCCTTGAAACTGTCCACAATTGGATGATAAAACGGAATTTACTTATGACCGAGGACAATTTTCACTATTACTCCGAGTGCATCACCGATCAGAAGCTTCGATTTTCAAAAATATTGAGCTCATTGTTAAATTTTAATAATTACTTTACACCTGCCGGAATTCTTCGTATTTGCTCTGCTATCAGAATTTTATTTGTATGTAAATTAATTTTTTTAGTCCGCAAACCAATTTCAGCAACAAGAACAGCTGATTGGCGCTTTTAATTTTTAAACTGACTCAAATTTTCAACTTTTGTGTGATCTAATTTTTCAAATCAAACCTAAACGAGCCTGGACAATTAGAAGTTTTAACTGATAAAATCCCTAAATAACAATGTCTGCTGTACAGCAATTGATATCCGGTTGTAGGGGAAGTTAAATTTTATAACGTCAAGTCGAACCTCAATTTAAAAGGCTCACACCGTTTAACTTGACACTTTGTTTGCACACATCTCATTATTTCTGTTAGCCGTTCTTATGTACGCATAGATGCCGCGGAAAACGGAAACGAACGACATATAGGGAGGGCATTTGAACAGGAGCCAAACATTAGAGCAAAACATTTTGGCCTTTGATTCAAACTTCTTTAGGACATTTACTGCGAAAGGTACTCCTCAGTAAGGTGTTTGCAACTTCAGGCCTGGGCTATCAGCAAGAAGCTGAGACGAAGTTTTTTTTTCCCCGAGTGATGGACGTATTTTGATTGCTGGGTTTTCAAGTCGTAAAGGCATTAATTTTGGTTGCAAAACGAAGTAAAGGGCTACCGCTACGAGGCTCAATAAATAGTTATCATATTGTGAAGAAGAACAACAGGAAACCGAAGTTTTTCATCTGCTGAAAAAGTTCACCATTGCATAAGCATCTCCAAGTGAAGACTTTCTCGATTTCTTCCAATGGAGATGTTTGTCTGTTGGTTGACTCTGTTAAGTGTAAATGTATTTTTTGTCAAAGCGAAAATGTTGAAGAATGAATCTCCAAGGATTTTTATGGCAGGAGATGTCATGTTAGCTGGTCTGGCGCCGATTCATTATCCTCAGGGCACAAGAGAAGAGGATCCGGAGCAGAACTCACACGGAAAGTTCTCTCATCATTGCGGGGGACCGTTCAACTTCCGTGGCATTCAGCATGCTGAAGCTATTCTCTATGCCTTGGATCAAATCAACAAAAACAAAACCCTACTGCCGGGAATCCTCCTGGGTGTCGACATTAAAGACACTTGCAACAGCGTTGATCATACGATTCAAGAATCTTTACAGTTCGGTTTTATCCGTGCAGCGTATATGCGCGCGGAACTTGACAATATTCGAGCCTGTGGATTGACGCTTAACGCCTCCATGCTGAAAACGTCTCCAGATAAAGGCGTTGCTCTTGTAGGAGCTGCTTACAGTGGAATCACAATCGCTGTGGCAAATCTAGCAGGACTATTCCACGTTCCGGTCGTTAGTTACGCTTCTACCAGTCGGCTTCTAAGCGACCGCAAACGATTCAAGAACTTTTTACGCACTGTTCCGTCTGACACGCGTCAAGCTCAAGCCATGGTTGACATCATTCGCAAATTGGATTGGAACTTTGTCTCGACTGTTGCCTCAGATACGGAGTACGGACGCTCGGGAATCGATGCTTTTAAGCAACTGATCGGGAGCAGTCAAAACTATTCTCGCATTTGTATTGCAGTCGACGAAGTCTTCACCGTGCGAACACCTAAGGCGAAAGTGCGCGAAATTATGTCGAAAATTCGCGAACATCCCGAAGCGAAAGTCATCGTGCTTTTCGCCGAACTGAATGATGCAGACTATTTCATTAACGTGGCTCGGGAGGAAAACATGGCTGGTTACATATGGATTGGTTCTGACGCATTCGCTCGATCTTATTCAGTTTTGCGCAACAACAAAGAAATCTTAAAATACTGGATCAACATAGAACCCAACTCGAAAGTTTACGAGCCTTTCAGAGATTATTTTGAGAACATCACTCAAGAACGCCTGAATCGGAACCCCTGGTTGAGGACTTACCAACGGTATGTTAAGAAACTGTTAAATTCTACTGAACCTATAGATTATTCTTCATATACGACTACTGCAATAGACGCGGTGTATGCTGTGGCGTATGGCTTGCATAACATGTATCGCTGTTCTGACAAAGCTTGTCTTATCCACGTCTCGAATACCATACAGTCTGAAGTATACGACTTCATCAAGAACTCTTCCTTTGTATCGCCTACTGGTCAGCGGGTGTCATTTGACGATAGTGGAAGCGCGAAAGCTTACTACAATATAATTTTTCTTAACAAACGCGGCGGGAAATTCTTTTTTGACATTCTTGGGAGTTGGTACTTAGGAGAGAGATTTAAATTTTGCTCTTCGTTCCAGCTCTATCGACATCCTTTCAGTGATTTTCAGTCCTTTGCAAGGTGTAGTCCGAGATGTAGACCTGGGCATTGGAAAGAACCGAAGAAACACTACCCGGAATGCTGTTGGAACTGCCTTCGTTGTGATGGCAACAGAATCAGCAACCAATCAGAAGCGACGGCGTGTGTAGGTTGCCCGGATGGAATGACAGCCAATAGTGGTAAGTCCTATTGCATCATAATTCCCTCGAAAGAGATATTTCGCACCACGCCCGGCATGGTAGTAGCTTGTGTCAGTGGAGTGGGCCTAAGTGCTGTTTTGGTAACCTTTGTGTCAATGTTTAAACAAAGGGATACACCTGTTGTGAAGGCTTCTAGCCGAGGAATTTCTTACGTGCTTCTGTTTGGTTTAGCATGGTGCTACGCCCTTCCCATCCAGTTCATATTGCAACCGACACCCCTGTTGTGCCAAATTCGCCCGTTTTTAATCAGCACAGGAGTAGCTTTGGTGATTGGCGCTCTCTTGGCGAAGACCAATCGTATCGCGCGGATTTTCAGCTTGAAAACCATGCGCACTGGCAAGGCTTACTTCCTGAGCAATAAGTGGCAGCTTCTCTTTGTACTGTTGTGTGTTGTGGTTGAGAACTGCATTGCAGCCACTTGGATCATCATCTCGCCGCAAAAATCCGTGAGAGTCACTTACGGAAGCTACCAAGTCGTGCTGGAGTGCATGGGGGAGTCACTAGAGGGCGTGACGATATGGGCGGCATTCAACGCTGCCCTGATTCTTCTTTGTACATACCAAGCTTTTCTAGTACGAAAAGTTCCCGCAAATTACAACGAAGCCAAGTTCATCGCCTTCAGCATGGTCACCGTGTGTATAAGCGGAGCGGTTTTCATTCCAACAGCTTTAGGCACAAAGGGACTTCACAGAACAATTACGACTTGTTTTCTTTTCATACTTTGCTGCACTGTAGGTCTTGTTTGCCTTTTTGGACCTAAGTTGTACATAATTATCTTCCGCCCTGAGAAAAACCAACCATACGAGCCCAAACCTGAACCAAAGCCTATCGGAGTTCTTCGACCACAATACGTCCGTTCCATTTCTTCTCTAAGTACGCTGACTATGACGAACTCATTGGAAAGTTTGGACAACCCACAGCTAACGAATTTTCATCACTCAGAGGCTCTTGCTAGTGGACTTCAATAGCTGGCCTTTTTCTCGTAATCTGATAGTGTGTCGAGACTTTTAATAATTTAAAAGGACGTTTCACATCGTCAATCTGATGTCTTACTTTAAGTCAATCGCTTCTAAGTGCTTAATTTCTTGTATTCGTGTGGGGCTCTTGACATCTGTTGAGACTTTTAAATGAATCATAGTTTGATTCTGCAATCAAAACTTCCGCGAGGAAATTACGTTAGACATCCGTCAATCCCGTACTGGTGCTGATGTACAATGGACGCATTTAGGAAAACTACGCAAGGGGTTCAATTTCTCATCACTGTTTCCCCTTCACCACCATGGAATGGGTTCAGTTTGTTTTCCTCGTCACTTTAGTGTTTGAGCGTGGACATGTTTGAAAATCAGCAAGAAAAGAGGTCATAACACAAGGTAATGACTCGCTAGGTTAAAAAAAAAAATAAAAGAGACACTGAGAGCTCTTAGAATGGGTGTTTCGGCCGTAAGAGTAAGCTACATAACCACTGACAATCATCTCGAATGTAAGTTGGCAAGACACCTTTAAAACTGGTCACAAGGGTAAAGTTTCCTTAGCCCTTTAACCCCTGAAAGTGACTTGCATCTTATTTCTCCATCACACAGTAAGGTCATGAGAATAAAGGAAATGATCATCAACTAAATATTTTCTCGATTGATAAACAAATTCTCCTTGTTAGCACCTTAGGAAATGTATAGAAAACAGTTTGGAGAATATACATATTGATGTTAGGGTGTAAAGGGTTAACATAAGCCCGTGGGACGCGGACAAGACCGTCTAACTACAATTCACTTAGCAAGCAAGGTTGACACAAGTAAACGCAGACACAGTTTGAACTTCTATAAAAATTCATGTTTTAATCCTCAAACTATAAATAATGAGTTAATTAAATCTTTCCCTGACTAGCAGCAAGTTTGCAACCATAGCTTTCGTACCTTTAATTGACGAATTGCAAATGACGAAGTAGTTAAGTCGAGACCAAGCTACTGAGATGAATAAAGCCTATCGAACATCATTCAAGTCAGCTTGGGAAAGAAAGCTCTAAACGAGTAGAAAAAGTATGTCTATATTTCCTAGAGCTTTATTCTACAGGATTCGTCAGAAAATGTATCAAATATGTATTTTTCAAACAATAAATTACTCGAAATAATTGGTTCTAATCAGAAATATCAGAACAATAAATTACCTTACAAAAATAACCCCCAAAATTATTCGGCACAAGGCGGGAAACCAGCAATCGTCTCAGAAGAAATAAATTATATTCGAGCTCGTGTCTTTCATGAAAGCTTAAGGTGTTCACCACAGATCGCAAAACATTGGTTCTTGTTAGCAAAGCTGCCGTTCTTTAAAGCTGTTCCCAGCCTTCTACCATAACTACATAAATATGCCAATGCTTAAAATAAAGTTTTCATATCTTTTAATTGAAAAAATAGATATTTCATCACGGTTACTCCAATGAAATCTACCTACATGGCGACTTTCAACAAACCAGCGGAAAAACTGGGAAACTTTTTTTGCAAATTAGTTTCAAATATTCAAATATGTTTTCCCTCATATTTGCTCCTGAAAGAAGAAGACAAAGAAAATCCAGGAGTCTATGATTTTCACACATACACAGCAGACAAGATTTGCAGTGGGTCTGTTATGTCACAAAATAAATTAATCTTCGAAAAGTCTATCATTCAATACAGCTCGAACCCTTCCCAAAAAGAAACGAAATGGCAAACGGTCAAAATTTTCACCTAATTAAGTTTCACAGAAAAATTGGGGTTTGAATTGTTCACACTTCTCTTAACTAATGATATTAACGCTATCAAATCCCAACCAAATGCATTCTAGATTTGTCACCACCCTCATAATCTTTTAAATACCTTGAAGAAACAATCCTTAAGCACAGCTTGAAAATAATTTCCCAAACTATATACATGATTAGATTTAATTCTGCAGAAAAATCATTCACACTTATAATTTATTATGAAGATAAATCGAAACTAACTGTGAATTGTCAAACACCTAACACGAGTCTTGAAAAAAAAAAAAACAAAAAACAAACAAACAAAAACGTCTTCTTGGTTTCTCAACATAAATTAAAAAAAAATGAAAACTGACCTGAAGTTTTTTAGTTTTCTTTACTAATTCCTAGTAAAGTGAAGATGGTATGTAAAAGGGATCAGACAGAGCCCATAAACTGTACAAAGTTCAATATATTTTAAGTTAGGAGTAGAATATTCCATGAAAAATTCACTTCCTTATCATTCCCTATGCCCTTAAATAGTGGGTTGAAATTTTGATAAGGCAGTTGGGACTTAAATGTAACTGATCATCTAAGGCTTAGAAACACTATTAATATAAAAAAGGTCCTGTAGAATATGTAAATTTTAAGCTCTCATTTTTGGAGCTCCTGAATCAGGAACTGAAGAGAAAGCCACTCTTCATACAAATACTACCCTTTTAAGCCTAGTTTACATCTTCACTTTTTAATAGGAATTGTACATTTCCAAGACCGCAAGTTTTGGTCTTCTGTCTCATCTAACATTGAAGAATATACTTCAGTTAATCTCTCTTTTTTGTCTGAGATGACTTGCTTTGAAGTTTGGCTAGATTTTCTGAATTTTTCCACTTAAAAGTCAAGCAATGAGCCCCATTTCCTAGTCCAAACTTCATCTCTACGAACTGAAAATGGACTGAATTCACCTGATCCACAATCAATCAATTGATTACTATCTTTTTTTAATGTTTTTAATTTTTTTTCTACCGAGAGATTTTTAAACTGATCTGATGGGCCAGTTCTAACTAATGAGAAGTGTTCTTAGTTCAATGCTTGCTACAGTATATCAGTGATGTAGGTCAATCATAAAGGATCATTGAGTTGAAATGAAATTGTAACCTAAAATAAATTACTTAGATTTCTGACACTCGGATGTCACACTTACCTACAAATTTAAATTATAATGTAACTTTATATCCAAGATTCCAGAATATACTCTGAAATTGAAATCAACTCTCAAAACAACACTCAATTTGCTGAGAGAAATAATATTAAATACCTACCTAACTAAATTAGCTGCTGCTCTGTAAGTAAGATAAATAGAGCCCAGTGGACTAACCACTCTAAGATCAGCTGCTAAGTTAAACATTTTAGAACATTTTCATATTCTGCCAGGAGAAAAGAACTAGCTCCTTCTAATGCTGCTTTGAACGCATCTTATTGGCAGCCTGTTGTTTACGCTTCTGCTCACACAAAACTGGATTTGAATCCACACTGAAGTAAATCACACGACCTAGAAAAACAGAGGGCAATAATTTTCAAAAAGGTTACTTCCCTACTTCCATTTTTTCTACAGTTTTGGTTTAGGGATGATGACAAACCACATGGTCATTCTTTAAGGATTAGGAACACTTTTTAATCTTGTGTCATAATTGTGACAGCTCAGCAGAGGAAAAGAAAAGATTCCTGTGCAGTAACCTGCCTTACATAAGAGTTTTCTTTCATATTTCTAATAACAAATACAGAAATTTGCAGAAATGCCTGCAACAAAAAACTGTGGAGAAGTGAACAAAATGATATAATCAAGACTAATATTACATCTGTACTCACCTTCCTTTGCTTCAAGCATTACTTTCTTCCATGCTGAAATGACAAGTAACAAAAGAGTTGAAAAATAATAATTATCATTAACCTTTTCACTACCATGAGTGACCAAGACAGAATTTCTCCTTACAATATCAATACAATATCTACCACATAAGTGATGAGAATGAAGGAAAATATCGATTTGGGGATAATTAGTTGACCTAATACTAAATTCTCTGAACTAACAATACAAGAATTGAACAGTTGACAGTAAGGAGAATGACAAATTTGACCTGGGAGTAAAAGGGTTAAAAAACAAAGAGATAAAATAGCTGCACAATGCGTCACTTTAGCCAGGCTGGGCTGTGTTCAAGCACATACAAACAAAAATATTCACTGGGCTGTTATCTATTTGCATCCAGCATAAACTGAAAAAGAAAACATCCTCCATCTGAAAAGTTCCTTCATTCACTCAGTCTGTTGACATCTCAGCTGGGACGAGTTTTGACTTACAATCAAGTAAATGAGTTAAGATGAGAAAGAAATAATTTTAAGATAAACACTCACCATTGCATAAATAGTCCACACACTGCTTTTGGTTGAACATGTCCCTCTGTGTCTCCACTTGCAGACAGCTCATTTCACAAGAGCTGACACTGTTAGCATCAACTCCACTGTCACTACTTTCATGAGGCTCAACTGTAAAACATAATCAACATATGTACTAAGTTAAAGCATAATGTTTAACATCACATTAATCTCTTTTGTTTTCTTCCTTTTTCTTTTTTAAGCAATATATTAACTGCACCTTAAACCTTTGCCCCCTTTGAGTGACCATTGCTTATTTTTCCCAACAGTATCCATAACAGAAATGATCACCAACTTAGGAAACTCTTGATTGTTAAACAAATTCTCATCATCAGCACCTTAGGAAATGTGCAAATAACAGTACAAAGAACATGCGCACTGATGTTAAGGTATAAAGGGTTATATAAAATATGTCTCTAATCTTTACCCCACTACTCTGTATTGGTAACAAGACAGTGGTTCTCAAGTAATTAGAAATTTTTTTTATAGCCTTGTTGGTCCAACTGTTGAGCTATTACAGAACTGAACAGTAGAGATAGTTTCAAGGCACTTGTTTGACATTTTATCTCACACTGAACTTAAAGCTGATATTCTAAAAAACAATCTCGGCAAAAATGTCTTAAAGTATTAATTCATGTCACAGTTATACTTGCCTATTTCATGCACTGTTTATACATATCTCATTTATCTTTCCCATGACTGAATCATACACTCAACCTATCAGCATGTATAATACATGTATGTACAAACATGGGAAAGATGTTGGAAATGGTGAAAAACATCACACTGAAAGATGAACCTTTATTGTTTCACAATTTCCAATTGTTTTAATTTTGCCAGTTTCCAATGCCAATCAAGGCTAATTTTTGCCACTCAACTGAAATCAGTTACTCCAGTTGTTGCCTCTATGAATAGAGCTGATATTATAAAGAATTTTACAAAAAACCTACCTTTTCCTCTTGCCTTGATCAATGCATCCCTATAAGAGAACCCTTTGGGAGTTTCCAACACCTCCTTTTTATCATCAGGTCTTGTATTAAATTTTACTTTATTGTCTCTGTCAGTCTTAGCTTGCAACTGGCCATGCACAATTGAATTCATTACTGAAGGCTCCATGTAAACAGTACTGTGTCTACTGTCAGATGATTTGAAGTGATTCTTTTTATCATCAACAGACTTCCTATGATGATGATTCTTCCTAAATTGATTGTCAGATTGTTGTTTGTGAAAGTCTCTCCTTTGAAATCTGTCCATGTGACTCTTTTCCCTGCTTGTTCTTACTGCAAGATCCTTCTTCTTCTTGCGCTGTGATCTTCTTGTTTGTGACTGCCAGCCACCTTCTTCTTCAACTGCAGATGAACTTGAGACATCCCCATCCACAGAATCTCCCTCCAGTACGACAAAGTCTTTACACACTTCTTTAGCATCAGAAATGTCACTGACAGGGTCATCCTCTATATCATACGAATTCATATTTTCCTTCACAATTTCTTTCCTTAATAGGTCCTTAGTATCTGTTGATGAAGTTTGACAATTTTTTACCTTTTGCTTTGCCACTTTTTGGTTGCTAACATGGTCTGGGGAGCTGTTTTTTATCATTTTTGTAGTTTCTGTCCTATTAAATGAATTGTCCTCTCCAACTTCTACATTGGGTAAGAGTCCTAGGGCAGATTCCAAAAGCTTTTCAGAGGAAGGTGGGAATCCAAATGGTGGTTCCTTGGTAAAGACTGGTGAGGTGTGTGATCCTTAGGTTATAGGAAAAAAAAATGAAAGCATAAATTTCTAGCAAGTACCAGTAAATGGAAACAGTTTACATCTTGCACTATTAATGGCTTAACAGAATGATCATTTACAGTAGGAAAGGGTAGTTGATTTGTATCACTATTTGCCAATACATCCTCCACAATGTATACCAATTCTCCAATATTGTCTGTTAATCATAACAACACAGCAGCCCTCACAGTACAAGCAACAAGTGAATATTTCTTCAGCTGAGTTCCTCTAACTACTGAGCTAATACAACAAGGAACAGCAGATATAGTTTCAAGGCAAACTCCTTTCCTGATCATTTCCATAGGATTACTTAATACAAATTTTCCTGACAAACAAGTTGCACTTAATGGTTGAAAGAGCTATAGACTTAGCATGCAAGTAAACCTTCAGCAGTAAACAAAGCTAAACCATAAAATTCTTACAACTAGAAAGCACTATAACCTAAAAAACTTGCGTTGTGAAAACCAAACATGGCAAGAATACTTGGGTCAAATGGGATTTCAAAGATACCATTAACCAAGAAAAGTAAAATGCTCACTAAATATCCCTTTAAATTTCTTGTTTTATGTTTCCCCAATTATTATAAACATTGTTAAAAAACAGAGATCCCTACCTAATCCAGAATCTGGGGTCACCATTCCACTGTCATTTGACGAGGAACTTCCACAAGACCTCAAGTCCACATCAATTGTTTTGGAACTTTGTGTCATTTCCAAATCTCTTCCATTTGAAATGTCAGCAACAAGATTGGTATTCATACTGACATGTAGAGGAGCATTAGTTTCTGGACCAAGAACTTTGTGTTTCATCTCCAAATTACTTGCATTTGGTTCTTCTGTACTATTAATGCTGTTTGCTACTGAAGATTCCTGTAAAGAATTTGGTACTTTGCCTTTTTTTGATTTTCTCTTCTTTTTATTTCTACTTTTTGGTTTCACTTCAGGGTCTTCTTCTTCTTCTCCCACAGGATTATTTGCAGGTCCATTTATATCCTCTTTAATTTGATTTTTACTTAGCTCCCTTGGTAAATTGTTGATTGTAGTTGTTATGGAGAAGGAATTTGGGGCTAACTTGTCCTTTAAAATTTGGTTTGAACCTGGAGGAAAAAATGCATGATCCCCACTAGATAGGATTTTCTTTGAGCGATAGAGCTCAAATGTTTTCTTAGGAAGTGCTGCAACTTGTCTGGCCATCTCTTTTATTTTATCAACCTGAAAATGGAACAAAAGGGAAAACATCTTATGAAGTTATTAGATTTCATGTGTTATTTTGAAAAAATAATGCCATTATGATTGAAACGACAACATCTCAAGTATCAAAACAGCAAACAAAAACCACCAACATCACATTTTTCAGATGAATGTTAAGAGCTAGAGTCGCCTGACAGTTAAAACTATGAGATTTCTTGACCATTTCAGCCAACAACTAGAGATGTAACCAAGAAGGCAAGTCAAATATAATATCATATGTTTTACATAAAACTAGAAATAAAAAATATTCTGCCATAAAACAAAGTTTGCAGAGGACAAATCGAAATGTTATTAAAATATTAATTGTTTAACAAACAGATCAACCAATCTCTTCCCTTTAACAATACAATGTGAACAAAGGTCCCAATACAAGAATACATTTGCGATCAATCTCACAGAAGTAAAACAAAAATGCATTTCAAATGCAATTATGATATTTGGTTAAAAGTGGTACAAGTATAAATATATATATAGGATGCAAACCAATAACCACTAATATCAAGCTTTACTGGCTCTGGTAAATTTGAATTTTGTCCAGACGATCTTTCCAATTGTCTGGCATAATGATGCCACTGATTACATAATAACAATCTTAATGGTTGAAGATTTTTCCAACTGAACAGTTTTCATTGCCGGATTTCAACAGGATAATGATACTTTGTTACTTAATCTCAACATTAAGTAATTTTTCCTCTTTTAAAACTGTGCTTCTGGAGAGGTTTATACCTGAAAACAATGCACTTCTATCAGATGATGTAATCATCAATATTAACTTTGCAAGTAAGAAAAATAGATCGTTGATAAAGTAAATCACTCTTTCGGTATACGTGGCATAAAATAATTCCATATAGTTTCAAATTACTTTACAGTAGATTTGATTCCACCAAACAAATTAAAAAAAAAAATCTTAGGTAAACATTTCATCAACCACACACTAAGTGATATTGAGGACCTAAAGTACAAATGAAATGTCTGCGGAAAGTTGTGCATGGTACAGAGTTTGTCTAAGCATGTTTGCAATAAATATCAACAACAGTTTCAGACAGCAGATTTTAAACAGACTCATTCAAAATACACAAGGTTAGTTAGAAATTTTTTCGTGCAGTTGTTCATGCGAACCAATAAACGGATATCCTTTTTCCATTGTACTCCATGCAAGCTCTATATCAATCTCACATGTTGAAGTCTCATACTTAATATGCGTACACGGCTCGAGAAAAAAATTACGACTGGACTGCGAATTTCGGTACCAATCCACGAAACTAATAAGTTTTGTTGATCTACTAAGTCTAGATCTGTTTTAAAGAAGGTTAGCTTAGCGATGGAATCATCCATCGAAAAACTCGCAGCGTATCACATCACGTCTGACATGGGGCACAAGCCACATTGTACATTACACATTTTAGCTTCGAACTCTCCTTACAGCCTAATGAATCAGAAGGTTTACTACAAATTTTTCTCGCCATCATCCAAGGCAAGCGAAAAAATATTGGAATATTTAAAATCACTTTACCTTCACTCCACGTTGACAAACATGCGTAAGCTCCGTAAAGAGTGAAATCGCACGCGTGGAAAATTTTGTAGTTTGGTAGGAGACCCACGTAATGCAATAGAGCAAAGTTCGTCTGATGAAATCGAATTTTAACGAGACTGCTGACGCACTAATATTGACTCGATGGCCGCGGGGCTGATAGGAGTTCTACTTGTTCGTCTTAAATAACCAAGACCTTTTGTGACCTTTGCGTCCACGTTTCTATATCTGGGACGTATTGGGTAAGAATTGCATAATATCCACCCGATGGATGGTCACATGTCCAAAAATGCATAAATTTCGCCACCGGGCAACTGGTTTCGGATATACCCGCCAGGAAACTGTCGAGACTGGAGTATTTAACAACTAGACAACAGCTCTTTGAATATCAACACCCTAGTACCAGTATCATCATGAAAAAAATTCAGATTGTTTACATGGCAACCGAAACAGTTTTCAAATTTTGAGATCTACAAACTCACCCGTTTCCTGTTGGTTGAGCATGGAATACTGTCATAAATCTCGAGAAAGGTTTCAACTTCATCTGCCCGAAGAGCTTCAGCAAGTCGCACGGCTAAGATAGTTTCCTCTTCCTTCAAATCGGGAGAGCATAAGTTCTCTCCCAAGTCGGCCATATTTACTCCATCAGTCTCACCAGTTTTGCTTTTATTTTTTTCTTGCTCTTCATCTCAAATTCTGCGCATGCTCTAAAGTTTTTCCCTAATATATCGCGGGCTTTTGAAATTTCCTACCCAGAAACCTTTGCTATATTCTAGGTTCAACATGGCGGATAATTCGAAGATGGAAGTGGAAGAGGACGCACGCGAAACGACAGAGGATCAAGATATTGAAGAGAACATGGATGAAGCTGTGAACAAGGAAGATGGAAGCTCGGACTCCGAAGACTCTGATGATAATGAGGCCGTTCATGATCCAAGAATTCAGCAGCTTGAGCTCCAGGTGCTGTAACTCTGCACGCTTGCATGTGCACAGCTGTTAGTGTTTCATGACCTGTTCACGTTGTACTGAAGAGCGTCTGTGAAATTTTCATTCTATATTTTGCATAAATTTAATTCGCAGAAGTATGCTCATGCGCGGGACCTGGAAAGCTCTTAATTTTTATCTTGACATAGGAGAATTTTAAATTTTGAAATAAATAATTTCTGCACATTTTCGCTGATCAAAAGTATGAATGAGATGCGTTATTCCCTCTCTCAATTTTTCTTCATTTTAAATTTAAATAAGTTTTGGGGAGAGACAAAATAGTTTAAGTTCAAAGAATGGAAAATGAGAGCCATATCCCCCATTTCCCTTCCCCTCCCTTTAGGTGAATATTGTAAAGTTTGTCAAGGGGACTGTCTGTGTAATGTATTTCATCTCACTGAGTCATAGCAGTACCTTCTTGTTCCTCAACATCCTTCATGACTTCAAAACTCACCATCTGGCAACCTAAAATCATTAACTGATCACCATGAATGAAATTGTTCTCATCCCTCTTGCAATAGATCATGAATAAGACTCAATTAAAATACATGTCTTCAGCTTACTAAATTGAGTAACTATTGGCATTTACAATGCTGTTGAAATGCTCATACTGAATCATAGTACCTGAGAACCTTCCTGTACCTTCCTTCACTAGATCACAGTTAAAGATTTAAAAAGGAGAGCTATAGATGAGGAGGGAGGGGAGGGAGAGAAAGAATGAGCCAGTTAGCAAAGATTTACTCTTGAAAAGTCTTCCTTGTTTGGTTTGTCTGTACAAATGTTTGTTAAGAGATGGAGATAAATACATTTTACCAAAAGAATAATTAAAGTTGTTATTATTTGATTTTTGCTTTGTAATTTTCAGGTAGCAAGCAATCCATACCACTATGATTCTCATGTAGAACTCGTCAAACTTCTTAGAGAGTCTGGTGATCTTGATAGATTGAGGGATGCTAGAGAGGGTATGAACAAGATCTTTCCTCTGACAGAAGGTAATTTGTAATTATGCGGCTGTAAGTGTTAGCAGTATGGGTTCACTTTGTTGTTTCTGAGATGTAGCCGAGAGAATGATGTAAATCAAATATGGAATTTGTTGCCTGACATAGTTTAATTTTTAAATAGATCGTGTCTAATTCAAAGCATGAAGAAACCTTTCCTTGGAATAAAATCTTGAGTTACTTCTGCAGCATGTACATGTACATTTATGTTGAATTTTTATTTTTCTTCATAAAACAACCACAAACAGTTCTGCTGTTTATCCTTTAATCCATTTCATACGTAATTTTCTCTTGATAGTATCAACCCCTTAGCAACAACATTTGATTTACTGCATCAAAAGGTCATACAAGTTGTTCTTTGTGTGTTTTAAGAACCCCCACACATTTGTTCTTAAGAGTTGTTCATTTTCACAGGTCTCCTAGTTAAATCAGATGAGATCTCTATTGCAATAATGTTACTCTGATATAATGATGATGATGATGATGATGATGATGATGATGATGATAACCAGTATTTATATAGCGCACATATCAAAAAACTCTCATGACGCTTTACAATAAGTATAAGAAATTAATTTGAATTAATTTAAAAATGAACACAATAACTGTTGATAAATAATTATAGAAAATAAATATGTTTTTAGATTCTTTTTAAATAAAGGCAGTGTTCCAACATTTCTGACATGGTTAGGCAGGCCATTCCATAATTTTGGTGCACAGACTGAGAATACTCTATCTTCATATGTTTTTGTGCTTGATGTTGGTGTTACTAGGAGTCCTAAAGAACTAGAGCGCAATACTCAAGATGATTTTTACTCCTGTCATCATTCAGAGACATACCCAGGGCACAGTCCATGATGAGCTTTGTAGACAATTTTTAAAACAACACAATACAAAACAGGAAGCCATTGAAGTTGCTGTAATAAAGGGGTGATGTGATCATACTTGAATGAATGAGTTGAGCAACTGTGTTTTGAACCCTCTGCATTTTGTTAACTTGATATTTGGACAGACCAAAGTAAAGATGGCTGCAGTAATCTAGCTTTGTAGTTACAAAAGCATGTACAACCTTAGAAGTGGCCTCATCTGTCAGATATTTACGAATTTTAAACAGGTTTCCTGAGACGAAAGTTCTACAAAGTTGATTTATATGATCATTGAACAATATTTCCTTGTCAAAGATGATTCCAAGATTAGTAACTATTCCAGCCATAGTGAGTTGTTCATTACCGAGGATGATCTCATCCAGTGAAGGGCTATTCTGAAATTTAGAGTGAATTAATAATATGTCAGTTTCCTCTTCATTAAGCTTTAGCTTGTTTTGCTCCATCCATAAGCAAATGTCAGATACACAGTTGGCAATCCAGTCAGTAATCGAGTCAATGTTATAATTTTTGAAGGCCACATAAAGCTGGGTGTCATCTGCATAAAAATGGTAGTTTAGTTTGTGCTTTTTGATGACTTCAGAAATGGGTATGGTATACAT